TTTGCTTCATTAAGTTGAAAGAATTCAGTCAACATTGTTCTTCTCATAATTGCATTGTTAATAAAATACTTAGATTAGTTTTATCGTCATATATTACATGTTGATTTTTTCAACATGAAGCTATAAAGAATAAGCAGATGAAAATATTTTTGACAGATGAAAAGAAAAAAAAATTCTCTACACAGTTTTAGATAGAGAGATATATCTTGCAGATTGATAAGCAAAAATTTCATCAATTTATTTGTCGATTTCATTTCTACCAGTCAAAAAATTAATTTAATCATGTGCTTTATATACGTATTTTTAGAAATATTTAACAGCTTTAATAGAATAACACACTTCAACGTCAATGATGCAATCAACTTTTGCACTTAATAAGGATTATATGGTACTATCCACTGATTGTCTAACATTTATCCTTTAACTTCAATGTAAATATCTTTATCATGCCATCTATATAATGGATACGAATTATCACTAAATGTAGTACTCTTACAATAAGCCCGAGGGTATTTATTCTTACAACCATTATTTGTCTCTGTACCTACATTCTTTGGATTAAGACTTCCACAAGGACATGCATATTATGTTAGACAATAAAAAAATAAAGATGTGGATATTTTTTTTTATCAAGAATTTAACAAGAAACTACCCGATCAATCTCTACAACACAAGAGATTTTGTAGAGAAAGTCAAAAATTAACAATAGATATGCATGAGGGAGCCCTCGTTTTTGAAATTTAACCACACATATATAAGCAATTACGGGAGCTAAGATGTTGTCCTTATGTAATCCTTTTTTAACTCTTCTAATTTTGCTTTGAATACATGTGCAATTAGATTTGAGCGATTTTGAACCTCATCATTGTATTTTAGTTCTTGCTTAATCTGTGGCCAATTTGGATGACAAGTTATAGTTAGAAATATATGTGGTTTTCCATAACTTGTATAGTAGCCATTTCATCCATATCTCTTTAGCATATTTCTATGACCACATGTAAAAACAATGTGGTAATACAAATTTTTTTACCAATTTTGTACCCCCTTATCTCCCCATTTTCAACACTATCTAAAATATATTGATGGATTTTAGCAAGATTTTTTTTTTGTTATTACGAAAGTAGTCTAACCTAGAAGTTTCAATGTTAACGTACACATCTACAACATAATGTTGAAAAAGTCTACCAATGTGAAGCAACATAGATTTACTTGAAGGCTGAATTTATAGCTTGTACGAATAATACTCTTGACAAGAGACTTAGAATCTTTTCTTCATTCCATTGAGTGTTGCATAAAAGAAGGAAGATAAATTTTAGTATTGATGTACAATATGCATACTGCAAAAGATTGCAGAAGCTTTTAAAACATATGCTTTCATATCTCGTCCTCTTTTTTAATTATTTTTGCTGTAGAATTAATTGTGTTAGGCACACCAATACACTTAGCCACTTAGGTAAATAGCGATTTTGGCACTCTATGTTCTTAACTCTTTCTATGCCTTCATCCAACCAAATTCCCCAAATGGGAAGAGCAATTGGTATTGCAAAGGATCATAACAACCATAATAATAATGAACCCTATGAGAGTCACCAGAATGGTCATATACGGTAATGTTACAAACATGAACATTTGTGTTTTGATCATCATTGACTCATACAATAGCAACTTGAGACACTGTAGGAGTATTGAATACTCTTTGATCAAGTTCTGGTTCGCATCTATGTATATGTGAAGATTGTGCTAAATTCTTCATATCACAAAGATCTAAAGAAACGGGTGTAATATTTTTTATATTAAGGATTTCAATCAAAAGAAGCAATGTACATTTTCATATTTTTTTGAACTTTTCATACAATTTTGAAGTTCATTATCTGTATTATAAAATATAACTGCATACAAGAAAGCATATTATTGTCTAGCATAAGTCAATTTATATAATGATATACTTGTACTTAAACTATAAATGTGTAAATACTTCTATATGCGTTACAGAGTTCTTTGTCATACTTTACACTAAATGAAGTAAATGCAAATTGGTTAAAATACCCCCTTGTAATCTATTTGAACTCCAAACATTAAGGTTTTTTAGAAGTAAATAGGTTATACAGTTCAACAGGTGAATCTCTACGGATTTTCTGTGCACCACATGTTTACAATCGATATATGTTGGCAATACATATGAAGTAATTGGTATGCTCAATGTTGGCACACAATTAGAAACATTTATTGTCTCTTCGTATGAAATAGAAGCGTCAAATTTGTGGTGCATTATATATTCATGCACAATGGCAAAACCTAAACTACTATTCTTAAATAACTGATATCCTCAAAGGATCCATCTGAACAATGATCCACTTCGTGTGGAAATTCCCATTTCCTTGGTCGACTTCTTGTAGAACTATTGACTTTTTGCGAAAGAGATTTGCACAAGTTCTAACAAGTTTTAGGAACAGGGCTACAGCCAGGGATGGCAATCGGGCTTGCTTGGCTCAAAAAAGCCCAAGCTGGGGCTTGGGTCGAGCCTATTTTGGGTTGCCGGGATAAGCCCGAGCCGGCCCGTGTGGCTATGGGCTTGGCTTGTAGGCCTTTTTATATAAAATATATATATACACACACATATTTCAACAGCAACCTGCTGCCTTTTTTAAGGCAGCAGGCTTGCTGTTTATATCAAAAAGGCCCGGCTTGGCCCGAGCCAAAAGTTCGGGTTGAGCAAAAGATTGGCGACTCGAGCTTGAAAAAATCTCTGACATTTTACCTAAGCTAAGCCCGAGCCGAGAGTTTTGGCTTGTGAGTCATCTCAAGTTGACTCGTTGACATCCTTAGCTACATTATAACAATTCGTGCAGCAAGGTAACATAGCATAAGCAAGTACTCTTATTGTCGAAGAAAACACCTTAGAATAGGTTAAGAAATATAAGAGAAGAATGCTACATGTTGTTTACTACCTAGAGGACTTAGACAGAACAATCACTACTAAAAAAGTGCTTTTCACCAATGGAAAATTGCCAACTGTGTATATCCATTGGTAATTAGAATCGGATTATCCATTAGTAAAAGTAATCCACTTTTAGTTGCGGCAATCAGCAACGGAATTGCCATTGGTACTATCAATATTTCTTTGCCAATGGATATTGCATGCCTAATGTAGTTGTCTAACATTTGGATGTTCCACCTACAGATATTCTGTAGGCGATGTATCGATAATCACCAACGATCGCAATCCATTGGACAGAATTGCCATTGGCAACAACGATATCTCTTTACCAACAGATATTTTGTACCTCATGTAGTTGTATAACAATTGGATGTTTCACCGACGGATATTTTGTGGGAGATGTATCGATGATCACCAACAAACATAATCCCTTGATAATTAGAAACAGATTAATCGTTGGTAAAAGTAAGCCACTTTTAACTACAGTAATAAGCTATGAAATGGCAGTTACTAAAGGGCATTCCGTCAATGATGTATATCAATTTTTATTAAAAAAAGATGTTTCAAGATTTTACATATGGATGAATATAATTTCTATCACCTATGATAAATCTTTTGATGATATTAGGTACATCAATTTTGAAAATGATAAAGTTGAACTAATCGGAGGTAATGGTTAATCGCTCAAGGATTAACATAAATAACGATATTTCATTTAACGTTTGAATTTTTTGACAATAAAGTAATTTAGCCCATGTTTGATGGGGATTAAAATTAACTTTTAGTAGATTTTGATAAAAAGTTTTTGAAATATGTGATTGAAAATTTGTGGGATCCATAAAAAATGTGCTTAATATTGATTTTTTGACTTTGACTTACATTAAAATATGATTTAAATCAATACCAAACAAGTGCTTAATTACAAAAATACAAAAAGATCAATTTAATCATGTGCGAGAAATACATAGACGAAGCAGTTTATGTACCGGCAATATGACATCCTTTTGCAGGGAATTCCATCTTTAAAATGAAATTCTGTAATGTTTAGCTTCATTGTTGTCCTATTTGACCCCATTAATTTGAAGTGATGTAAATGGAATAGTGATTGATGAATAATGTGTGGTAAAAAAGGAAAAAATTTTGATTTACGTATAATGAAGAATATATAGTTGAAAATGAATACTGTAGAAAAAGAATGTGCTATAATGTAGAATGGGGCTATAGTAAGTACTACTATTCGATTATTTAAAATACTTATGATACTTTAATTGTAAGTTCTCATGTTTAAATATTACAACACAACAAAAAATATTAAAACAAGGTTTTATCACTATTTTTAATTACAAGAACTTTCATCAAAGATTTTTGCGTTTAGCATCTTAATAAGATATTTAACTTATAATCAAGTACATACTTAAATCAATTCCAGTATATGAATATCTGTTTAGTCTTCTAATAGACAATATATACGAATTTGATCATCATGGCTTCTGATTAAATAATTAACAAATTAAAACATAATCTAATATTTTTTTTTCATGAATTACTACATAGCTTTTATATGATAACATATATATATGACTAGAAATGACAATAGATCGAGGCAAATATGTGATGGTCATCCCCATTTATCTTCTCGTCGACATTTTACAAAAGGCAAGACGAGGATATAATATTTTCGTTCATATCTTTTAGTTCATTAATTTTAACTCTTTTTAAATTTTTGAAACAATATTGACAGTAAAAATATAAAAAAATTATTAAAATAAAAAGATTCCAGATGGAATGGAGAAATTTGAGGTGGGGATAATGTTCCGCTCCTCGCAATAATTACTTAATGGGATGGGACGATTGATGATGAATTATTTTCTTATCCCTCGATGAATTATTTTCTTATCTCTCAATGAATTATTAAAATTCTAAGTTGATACCAAATTTTATTTCACTATTAAGAAATTAAAATAAACTTCGTAAAATATAGTAAATTAATATTTTGATATTTTCTAAATTAAAAAAGATAAATAAAATAAAAAATATCCTTCCTATTTTTCTTTGGCCTCCCACCAAAACACATTCCCTAATTTTAGAGAACTCTTCCTCTTCCTCAACCAAAACCCTTCTCTCTCACAAATTGCAAGATCGTTCTATCACCCTCTCCTAAAATCCAACCGTCAATTTCAATATCACTGCTGATTCATAAATTTTTCTTGTATTTTCCCACGTAGGTACATATTCTTGGTAAGGTTTTTCGCCCGATCTTCCCCTTGTTTTTTCCGTCTTCTTTTCCTTTCTTTTCTTCCAAAATTACTATTTCTAGCAAGTTATGTCATGGGATTTTTTTTATTGTGTTTGATTTCATTTTCTATTTTCGATTTTATGGGTTCTTAATTTCTCTATTTGTGCATATCTACGTGGTTTTGTGAAAAGGTAGACGTAAGTAATACAGGTCTACTGTTTCCTTATTCTTTATTTATTTCTTAAGTTCGTGACATTCTTTCTTGATTCTACCTCATTGGAATTTGTAGGTTCATTAGAGCTTTCTTGTGGAAGAGCAAAAGAAGGTTTTGAAGATTTAGAAGGCCAAGGAAAAGCTACCTACTAAGAGCTAAAGAGTGAGTCATATGCCAATATAGTTTTGGCTACTATTAAAGGAGGTTATAAATCTAGTCAATCAAGTTATGCGAGATCCACAAAGGATAGTGATAGAGTTCTACACGTGGTAGTTATCGATTTTGTGAGGTTAATATCTCCAATTATGATATGGAAGATGAGGATATAGACAAACCATTGTACCAAGAAGACATGCCACCTAGATCTAATAATTGGGCTAGGGGTTATAGGTTGGCAACAAATGTAACTATTATTATTTTGAATTGGTTTTGCAAGCACTATGTCACCAACTAATAGAGCATATACTGGTCAAGTATGTTAGTAGAGATCTATACAACATGATTACAGGGGATCTGGGCATGATAGATATGGTAATCATGAGGCTAATATTTCCAATCATGGGGTCGAAGATGATCACATGGATGATGAACTTTATCGAGAATATATATGTCTAGATCTAATAGGCCCAAAGGTGACACATATATTTAATTATCCATCTTTCATAAATACTTGATGTTGCTTAGTAAGATATAAGGACGAAACTGAACTTACTAAAGGAAATAGTTTTAACCAACGAGGAATAATTATAGGGAAGCATTCGTGTCTGTACAATTTCTTTTATCTTAATTAAAACCATGGACGAGATTTTATCAGCTACAAGTTGCTTCTCTTCATACATGTAGTTGACTACAATCATTGTTTATAAATAGAAACATTGTTCTTTGGATATACAAAAACTAAAACATTGATCAAATACAAATGCAAGAACAAACTTCGATAATATTAAATCAATTTACTTGGCATGCAGGATGTCGCTAACTAGAGGAGGAAACACATCTAGCCGAGCAAGGCAGCGTAAACCAACACGTGGTGGTGGTACAAGGTCTATACGGAGCAATAATGAACATCATGATCCTAGTACTCTCAATGATGAGTTGGGAGGTGAGCATCCAGATGATTTGCCCATAGCTAGTCATAGGACCAAGGGTCATAACTGTGGTATTCCTATGCATGCTGATCGATTACAACGTATTGAAATAATTATTAAAAATAGCACGTAAGTATACATTTATTTTCAATTGATTTTATTTATTTAGAAACATACTTGTTGGTATTTTGTAATTGGACAAGAACTTTGCTAAATGTTAAACAAGTGAAACTAATTATGTGATAGTGAAAAAGATTATATATTTATTGTTTGTTTGTTTTAATAGCTAATATTTATATGTATATATGGTGAGATGTTTCAACCTCTAATCACAAGTAAAATGACAAACAAAATGAGAACTAAATTATGAAGAAAATCAAATTAAATAGTTGTTATGATAGGGCAAGAATATTTTATGAATTCATTCATGATTAGTGAGTAATGTACTGAAGTTGAAGCATTTTGATTTTGAGAGTCAAAAAGCTAGGACATAGGGATTAATGTTGAGAGAAACAAGCAGATGAAGCTGCCATATCTCACATTGGTAATGTTTAAAACATATATAAACTCATCATATTTTATTTTGATTGTTTGACCAATCAACGTGCTTTATATTGCCCTCTTCTTTTCATAAGTTGTAGTATTTTCTTATTTGATTTAAAATATAGCAACTTGTGGTTAAACATGATAACATTTATTACATGGATGTTTTCTAAAGAAGAAAGCATATACCTATGGTTAAAGATGATAACATTTAAAGATTTCATGTTTCTTATATGGTTGTGTAACTTATTGACTTTTTCCTAATCGTGTTTTTTCTATTATTTACGTAGTTTTGGTGAAACTTTCATACCCTGTGACATCACCGCAATCATGAAAGCATATTTTGATTGTCCATACCCCACATTCTGCTTGATGCCACAACCCATAAGAGATGGTTTATGGGATCGGTTTATGGTAATTATTATTTATTATATTTGGAAATTTTTGATAATCATTAGGTCCATGAATTGATTTTTTATTTATATATAAGGGCAAATATGTGTGGCTGACTGCGAATATTATCAATGTGTATGACACATGGAAGGTCATAGCGAAGGATAGATATAACGATATGATGAATGATGCCCACGAGAAAGCAAAGTATACAAGTCAGTCCGATAATTCGGCTGATTGGAAAGGACATGGCTTGTGTTGGATAAGAGCAGAGTATTGGGATAATCTTTTAAATTATTGGAATATTGAAAAATGGAAAAAAAAATACGAAGATTGCCAAGGAAAATCATCTTGCACAAAGACAAGATAGTGAAATGAAGAATCATACTGCTAGTTTGGTCTCCATTGTGATTACTAAGAAAAGAGTGATATATTTTTTTCATATTATTTTTATTTTTTAATTTAAAGTTCAAGTGTATTTTTAACTGATTGTGATTGATGAGTTGCATATCTTAGGAGAAGAATATGGATCGTCCAATGTTCCAATTAGAGTTTTTCAATAATGTTCACAAGAAGAATCATAGACTTGGCGATTTTATTGATAAAAAAATCCAAGCAAGTTCATGTAAGTACAATTAGAGTTCATGTACTTCATAGCTTGTTCATATAATCAGTAAGAATTTTTTTTTTTCATAGGATATATACAAGTTTTCAATCGAGTCCAAGTATGGTACTATTAGGGATATTCAACTTGAGTTCAATCCTGATTCATGGATCGATGCTATCAACAGTCCATCTAAAGGTCGTGTTTATGGGTTTTGTTCTAGACAGCTTGCTTCACTTGTTCTTGTACACCTACTTCACCTAGACGTTCAATACTTGCACGTGATGAAGAGGTGAATAATTAGAAGTCAGAACTATTAATTGCATGAAATACAATGGATGAGAACAATGAAAGGATTGATGATCTCACTGTACGCCTTGAACTAGTTGAAAGAAATCACAAGATCGAGATATGAGAAACAGTACGAAGCATGCTCAGGGAACTAAATATTCCTAATTTTCAATTTCCTTCTAGTTCGGGATCACGAAATGATGATATGTGAGACATGATATTTGAAATTTGGAATTTCAATAAAATAATTTAGCCCTTGTTTCAGCCCCATTTTTTTGGGAAGAATGAATTTTTGAATAGTGTATTGATGGGAAATGTGTGGTTAAAAAATAAGGAAAAATTTTGGATTTGCGTATAATATTATTTTATTGAAGAATGTGTGGTTGAAATGATGTCAAAATACTGTTGAAAAATGAATTTTTCCAAAAGAATGGAGATCAAACAAGGGCTTAATCTATTAAAACTTTAGTGTGTTTCGACAAATTTGATTATATAATGTATTTTGAAATTAATAATTAATAATTAGTGGGTTATATACATTTCTAATTATTATTATTAGAAAAATAATAAATTAAGATTCACTAACGGATTTTCTGTTGGTATTGAAGTATCAAGATATAATTTTAGCAACGAATAGTTCGTTGGTCAAATATTCAATTGGTAATACCCATGTTTTACTAATTAGAACATTGTTTTTACCAATGAAATTTCTGTTGGTAATGAAGACTTTCTACCAACGGAATCTGCGTTGGCAATTATAAGGTCTTTACCAACGGACATTCTGTTCGTAATGAAAAGACTTGTACCAACGAAATTTCTGTTGGCAATTATAAGGTTTTACCAACGAAACTTCCGTCGACAATGAAAGAATATTACCAACAGAATTTCCGTTGAAAATGATGAGGTTTTTACCAATGGACTTTTTGTTGGAAAGACATTCACAAACGGAAATCCGGTTGGTAAAACTAATACACTAACTACGACCATTAAAATAGTAATGGATTTTCTGTCGATCTTTTTCTATTGGTGAAGACTAGTAGCAACGGATATCGTGGCTTCAGGAACGGAAAATCCGTGCTTAAAGCCATATTTTTTAGTAGTGAATAAAATATGCCTCTTCTTTTTACCATGAACTGCTTTCTATCTTAGCTTTTTAGTTCTTTTTTATACAGTTGGCTATGTAAATATAATGAAATGCTGGCTGCAGGTTTTACACCGACTGTCTTGGGGTTGAAACTGCTTAGGAAACTGGATATTCCTGAGGAAAAATATACATTTCTTGGATACGGGCCAGAAGATTCTCACTTTGTTATTGAACTTACATACAGTGAGCATTGTTAAGTGTTCCCAAATTATTATTTTCATGATCTGTACTATGAATTGAATGCACAAATATTACTATGCCATGCCTCTTTTTGCAGGCATATGCTTATTCTCAACAGCTTAAGTCGATTTGTCATTAGTATTTGTGTTTTATCTGATATTATGTTAGATTATGGGATTAATAAATATGATATTGAGAATGGTTTTGGTCATTTTGGCATTGCAGTTGAGGATGTAAGTTTCTGTCAATTTTATGTAAGATTCCAGTATATATGATTGAAAGTAGATGATTGTCTTGATAGCTATAACCTCAACTCATATACCTCTGTCCTTGTTGCGGTTCTCAGCTGCATATGTTCAAATTCTCTGTAAACTAAATAGCTCTATCAAGAGTATTATGCTTGCTGTAGGAATTTAGTTAATTTCTTTCATTTTCCAATTTCCACTATTATATTAAGTGTTGGAAACAGTGTTCATAAATAAATGGTAAAATTCAGGAACCAATCCTCTCAGGCATTAGTGCCACGAGTCCCGTATCCATTAATTCATTGAATCAATATGTGAAAAAAAAAGAAAGAAGTCGACTGCTAAAGTTTGTTTTGTTTCTTTGTTCGAAAATAAAATACAGGTACAAATGGGATCATAGAGAAATATAGAAAAAGTAGTGCTTTAGGCCATGGCTAAAATTATGACACACTTTATTGTATATCTTAATTTTTTAAATTTCACAACACAAAATCAGCAGAAAATAAACAAGCACGAACGAAAGACAGATTATGAAATGAGATTTGTGTTTAAACAATAGTAAAATTTACCTCCACACTCCTTTAGACTTCGCAGCAGATAACAACAAACATCAACGAAAAAAATAATAATTCAAAACACATTAGAGAAATGAAAATCACCATAATAAATTAAATCTCAACGAACTATGTTCGAGCAGTAGTAAATTTTACCTTTTGAATGAGACTCAATAGATTTTGCAGCCAAAATAGATAGAAAACCAACAAGAACAAACAGAAGATAGATTAGGGAACAAAAAACACAAGTGAATCTGCAGAAAAATTGTGAAAGAGAGTTAAAATTGCTTTGGAAGAGAGGAATAATAAAAGGAGTTTGCTAGGGTTTCTTTCACTCAAAAACTGACACAAATGAAAGGAATAAAGAATACAAAGTGTAAATGGATAAGTTGTTGGGCCTCAATGTACAGTGAAAATAGAGAGGAAATCCATTGGGCACATGAACAGTGCAAATTAAGCCATCCATTGTGAACAGAAGGTACTCATAAATGAACGGTAACGTCCACGTTCACTCTTTTAAATTAAAGACAATAATAATCAATAGGGTCATATTAGAGAAAGGATTACAGTTCTACAAAAGTATAGTGGAATGGTTTTGTATTACCAAATGAAGTTTATTGTCATATGAATTGCCTTGATATATTGCTAGACATCAATCTTGGATTGCAAAGTGCAGTAATTAATCTGGGCAGATTAATTATAAATTAAAAGAAAAATTTCAGTTTAATGAAAAGCTAATGGATCACACTAAAAGGTAGAATTGGAAATTTTTGTGGGTCAAAGTGAATTAATTAGATTAATTGACTTTGGCTCTTTGAAGTTTGGACTTACTAATTCTAATAGGATTAGGGGTTGCACTAATATATGAATACATATTCCAAGTTTAGGGTTTAGCAGATATATTATTATTCTGTAGTAGAACAAGAGAAATAGATGGAACCATGAACCTAATTATATCCCAATCTATAAAGCAGCCATGAACTGTTCTTAATGTTGGAATTCTAATTTATTCACATCGTACGTGTTTCTATTAGTGACTCGACGTCTCAACAATTCAAGTATGTTAAGATCATGGTAAATTGGATTGAGAATTTTATCAAAATTGCAATATACCTCCTATCATAGATTCTACCTAAACACAAGGGTGACCGGGCTTTCGAATAATGAAACTAGTTTAATTTTCTTTTTAAGTAAATACCTAACAAGTGATATATAGAGGAGAAAGCCTGGAGTTGAGAGGAAAAGAGAGGGAGTTGGGAGGTACAGGTTATGATTAGGAATGTGGAGAAATCTTTCGAGTTGTCTTAGGTTTATGGTTAGTATTATGTTATGTATGTATGTCCTGAACAAATAATGATCTGTTATTTATGTCATGTCAACATGAAATCTTTTTTTTTTTTTTTTTTACACATTAGGGACTTCAGAGCTACAGAAAAAGGAAAAAACCAAAATCGAGTTGAAATTAGGCAAATGGATAGCAGAAAGTGAACAAAAACAAAGATCAAGATGAAAATGGCGAGTTCGATATCCTTGCTACTTGGATAGACTTATTCATGGAATTTTTTGAAATATATACCTTCAGTAACAATAAATTATGCAACTACTGTATACTGATTGAAGAGAAAAAAAAAATTATACATAAACATTTTAACGGAAAATATAAAAGTCGTCAACCAATTATTTATTAATTATATTTGATATAATTTTAAACAGGTCAAAAATAAAATTTTAATTGGGTCAAAATTGAAATTTTAGGGTCAAGGCTTTTAAAAAGTTCAAATTTAATACCCTTTTTGAAAATTACAACTTAACCCCAAAACATATTGCAAGCAAGGGGCCTGTAACTACTCAAATTACAACAAAGGCTCCCGTCTCCACCTTTGGCCCATTTTACAGAATACCCAGTATATATATTTATTTGATTTTCTAGGTTATTCAAAGGCAAAAACTTCTATTAGGCAAATTAAATCTGATGGGTAGCGAAAATCTAGTTGAACTAATCACATCAAAAAACTCGAAACTAACAAAAAATCTACTATTTAATGTTAAAATGAACTACACACTCACCAGATTATTGATAGCAAATAAATAAATAAACAAACAACAACTGATCAATGTCGCTGTCAAACTTTCCTTCCATATAAAAATCAAATAAAACAAATAGGAGAAGGAAACGGGTGTCATTTAATTGGGTTTTGAATTGCTTATCATATCTTTATATATATAATGAATGTACACATACGCACAGAACACGTGAACACATTGATGCAATTCTCCATTTTTTTGTTTATTTATTTATTTATTTTTTTCAAAAGTTTGAAAACTCAACAATCCTAGACACTGAAATTGACAAGCAGCGGACGGAAACTTTAGAATTATTCAATTAGAGAAAAAATTGTAATGATGGATTATGATATTATCATTAGGCTGTGATACCAATTGTTGAAATTAAATTTTTAATCATGCTAAGAATACAAATCAAGATTTGTCTTTTCAAGAGAAACTTATTCATTGTCTCCATTCTCTGCACTGACTGCCACAAAAAGGTGTCCTTACAGCCTGATTCTTTCCTCAATGAAATCATCAACATGTTTGGTGGACTATAGAAAATGGCTTAGTTTGGGTTACATTCAAACCCCAAACACTCTGGACTAGTTTAAGATGAGATGAAGTCTGGGGAAAATATTAGGAACAAATGCCTCATTCGAGTAACTGATTGAAAAATGATCATTTGCACTGTGGTCGGTGACGCCGGGTAAGATAGCAATTATCCTATAGGCTAGTTGCAACAGACGATTCGCAAGAAAGAAGAAGAAATAAACACCAAAAACAGAGAGAATTCTTTGAAAACTTCACTCAATATTATTAATAATCAATAATGATGAAAATTAACCCACAAGTCGGGTTAAATAGCTGCAAAATAGTAATTATCGAAAAATTACCAAAAATAGCAAAATTCTAACGATTACACCAAAATAAAATATGAAATAAAAGAAGTAAGTTGCCAAAAATTTGGCTTAATCTAGATTCTCTAACGTCCTGGAAAAAGGGAAATGAAATATTACCATAAATAGTAAAAAATAACTAAAAATTAAATTTTGGAAATGAAAACAACTAATTTTGGGCTAGAAATTGATGTCCACCGAGTATAGCTGGGCGGCCACGACGTGCATGCCGAAGAGAGTTTTCCGGGGTCATAATAGCGATTCTGATAATCGTAGCCAAAGTTATGGCCAAATTATCAAAGACGTGTCAAAATTACCCCAAATTAAGGAAAGATTGCATTTATTTTCTATCTTTGCGCCTATCCACCATCTCATGGTATCTCAACACCATCAACGAACTATCTAACAGATCAGCGTCATTTGACTCGGATCCTCCTACATCAATCGGTCCAAAAGAAATCCTGATCTTTCAAGCTCACCATCTCGAATGAGTAGTTTTGTTTCATTCAATTAGCATTAGGGTCATGCAATCATTTATATTTTGTTGAAGATCCTAATTTTCACTACTTAAAGTTGGCTGACACGATTTTGTTGGCATTTAGTAGAATGCGGAAATACATTTTCTCAGGATTCATAGAATTGAAAATATGATGAAAAAGATTTATTAATTGTAGAGGCCTTTCTTGTATTTAACACAATGCAAGTATTAGAGAAAAAAAAATAGAAATTTATTGTATTATATACATCATATTTGATAATTAATTTTCGGCTTTCAAAAATAGTAGTGTCACTGCATTGATACACGTCTAGGTATGTATATTGTATGCTTACTGAACGAGCGTGTTTTCAAAAGCTTTATTTGTTAAAATTTAAAATAACTACATTACCAAAGAGCCTATCTAATCTGCAAATGTATTCTAGCGTGGTCTAAGTGAGTTTTGCAAATTCAAGAATTCGCAACTTCTTTATCTGATACCTGGTCAGGGCTGATTATGAAGAAAATTTTCATATCCAAAAAAGAAAATAATGCGATATTTGTGCAAATCGAGTTCTAATTGTTATTCATGAGAATCCATTAATAATGTCCAGTAGATATAATCTTCCATTTTATCTATGGGGTTGTCACAAGTTCAAATTTTTTGCAGTAATTTTTCATGTGCTAGGCACTAAGTTCTTCACTTAGTCGCCCAACACTCATATTTCTCTAAGTAATGACGAACACAAACTAGAGATGAAAGATATGAAATGCAGTAAACAAACATAGGTATTTTCGACAAATCTCCCATATTTTCCCAACTTTTATTGCCTCGACAAGAGAAAACTCACAAAACTTTGGCTAAGAATCACTCTTGTGCCTTGTGTCTCAAAGCCCTTGATTTTATAAGTAAAATTTGTGTGGTTGACACACCCAAACCACTAGGTCCTGAATATATTTAAATGTTTCTCACTAAGTAAGTTGCTTAAAAACTACCCTAACTTGACATTTTACCAGCTGACCTGTCTAAAAAATTGCTTGCACAAGTCAATTCCATTGCCATGTGACTGACAAAAAGTAA